GTCACAGTTCATAGATAGCAGCCAATAGGTAGCAGTCAACAGGTAGCAGTCAACAGGTAGCAGTCAACAGGTAGCAACAGGTAGCAGTCAAAAGGTAGCAGTTGATAAATTATCTGTAGATCACAAATCATGGACCTATAACACTCTACTGTAGACAGCTTGGACAAGCTTGTGATGTAACGTGTAGAAAACCTGGGCCTATAACACTCTACTCTAGTACGGAAAGAATTCCCTTGATAAACTGGCCAAATAAAAGGATTGAGATCTAAACTTATTCGATCAGATATTTTTTGTCAGTACAAATGGTCGCCCTGCATGCCATATATCTATCACGCATTAAGCCACTAATCTGAAAATTGTCTGTTTATTTCTATTGACTCTTGAGAGATTAGCAGAAATTACGGCATTCAACACGTTCCGTTAATCCCAGAATCCTGAGCAACGTTTGATGCCGGATGACGTCTTATCTCATCTAGATCCGTCAGCTTAGGACAAATTCTTGTTTCACAGGTGGACACGGTGCACACAAGTGAACTAAGTACACTCCATGTGAACACGACGTTGTATCACTTCATTACCTCCCCAGTTTGACAAGGTTTGACGAGGTTGGTGTGGTTTGACCCCACCCACTCTTGCAACTGTCAAAATTCCACGACTTAAGATCGCACGTTGAAAGGAATATTTTTACCAGGGGTAAATTGTTTTGGTTGATATTCGAGGAGACACCTACACAATGATTAGCAAAACTATCCTTTTAAATGACAGCCTTTTGTATACTAAAAAAAAATTAGCTGTTCAAAGATAAATCCTTGTCGCTCCTAATATGAAATACCTAAATCAATAATATTAGAAGAGTGTAGTCTTTTAATTGTGGGTTTGTAAAATGTGTATGAAAATACCTACTTTTAAGAAATGTAGAAGATCAAAGGTTTCTAAAAAAAAAATTCATAAAAAACGTTTTAATAACAAGCTTTTATGTAATGATGCACTAAAAAGTAGAAAATAAATTATAGACTACTATTTAAATAACTATAAAGAAAAGCGTGGGTCACTTTAGTATCTATTGGATACCTTTACTAATGTTAAGGAAGACACCCACGCTTTTCTTTATAGTTATTTAAATAGTAGTCTATAATTTATTTTCTACTTTTTAGTGCATCATTACATAAAAGCTTGTTATTAAAACTTTTTTATGAATTTTTTTTTCAGTACTTTACATGTTTTATCTACAATAGAGTTACATGACTAAAAACCATTGCGCGCCTACTGAATATCACGTTCAGTAGGCGCGCAATGGTTTTTGAACGCAGCCATTACGTGGTCGTGATGGCGCAGCTATTGATGACGCGTGTGGTGTGGTTGGCTAGACATGCCTACTAATTCGGTCCAAATTTTAATTAATTCATAAAAAATCAATTAGGCATCCAATTAAGTCAAATTTAGTTTCAGATTGCATTGTCTTCATGTCTTGACCCACGTGCCAACTGTGAATCGTGTCGGTCAAGTAGAACTGTCCGAATTTTCACTCCTGCGTTTCCGTCTAGACTGACGACTTACGACAGACAGAGGAAGTGAGTTAAATAAAAGCTTGTAAAAAGACGGAATACTTTCCTTAAATCCAAATTGTGTGTTCCTGTTTTTGATGTTGTTTTCGTTTATTTTTATAAAAGTCGTGTGACCAAAATATCTCTCTTCTAGCCTCTGATTGGTGGGCGTGGACTAGTGTTTCTTTCAGTAGTTTAACGTGTAGATAATGACGTGCATTCTTATGACATGACAGATGACAGATGGCAGATACTGTAAAAACTGGCCGGTAAATTATTTGGGAATGTTGCACTGTTGGTGTCACGCTCTAAGTTTAATACGTTCCAAGTATTTAGGAAAATATTGTGTTTCTATGTATAGGTTGTAAATGATAAATTACCATCTCGGAACTGACGGTCAATATAGCAGATGAAGTAGAGTTAATCTATTTCTGTAACCATACACAGCCACCTTTACTTTCCCAAATGTTAGCAGTCGTACGCTCTACAACCAAACAACGCATCCCGTCCCATAAGTCTATGTTGTGTTTTGTTGCTTCCTCTAAAAGTTTATTAGGAAAACGTCAAGAGCTTATACCCACTCGGGAGTCACGTGATGTTGTCAGAAGATGGTGACGTCACGTTTTAAGATTACCGTACTCATTAAAAAAACCTGTGTCAGTATTTCGGTTAGCCCTGGCACAGAGTAGACCAATAAATATCGCCAATATTTTAATCGATAATCTATCAAATCAAGTTGTGATTGACGGTTTTTTGACGGTCTACTCAACGAGCTAAATACATTAGAACTTCGAACAGCCACATTGAAACAGCCACAGTCACAAGTCTAGAACCTCACTACTAACCAACCTACTAACCAACCTACTACCTCTCTCATTACTAACCAACCTACTAACCAACCTACTACCTCTCTCATTACTAACCAACCTACTAACCAACCTACTACCTCTCTCATTACTGACCAACCTACTACCTCTCTCATTACTGACCAACCTACTACCTCTCACATTACTAACCAACTTACTGCCTATCTCATTACTAACCAACCTTCTAATCAACCTACTACCTTTCTAAACCTCATTACTAACCAACCTACTACCTCTCACATTACTAACCAACCTACTACCCCTGGTATACCCCTCCATACAAAACCAACCTTAAGGCTGACTGGTACTACAGAGACCTTGAATACCCCTTCCCCCCCCCCCCCCCCCCCCACACACACACAGCTAAATTATATTGACCAAGCCTTAAATAAAGCCCGTTTTTTTTTTCTTTCTAAAAATCCGAATTCACTTCATTTGAGCGTCTTCCCCACTTGAAAATGTCTTGCACTGTTTCATTCATCCCCAGCTGAATACCACTGACATAGCCTACGTGCATATATAATTATCCCAGCCCATTCAATCTCTTCTTTGCTATCTTTTAATAAAAATAAATTTCAATGCCGGCCTGTAACACGCACTGTGTTCTGGTGAGATATTACCAGACCAAATTGACATTTTATACGTTAGTTCATGGTACTTAGACGGGTGGTCTAGTATACTCAAGTTCGCTTAAAGACACAAACACGACTTGCCTTTTACCCGAACAGACGAAGTGTCAAAAAATATCGTAGCTGTACTACATCACTTCAGAAACACAACTTCACTCTTCTATAGCGCTGTGCTATCTACTTCACATTTGTTGTGTTTTTTTAAAGCATTAAAAACAAACTGTTTTTTTTTTTAAATCAAAGATTATTTTCATTTAAATTCTTGATCTAAACAAGTTTACACGATGTTTACCGTCTGCTAAAGCGGAACATAATAAAACAAAATAAACAGAAATTTTGGGATAAAAAATAAAACCGAAAGAAACGAAACAACAGACACAAATGACCTTTATATAGGCCTGGACTATTGGAGCAGGGTAAGTTTGAGTGGAGTCTTGTCTTTAAACTTAGGAGGGTGACAGTGAATGGGGACATACTGGAGAATGGTGACCCTCTGGAATGGTGACCCACTGGAATGGTTGGAATGGTGACCCACTGGAGAATGGTGACCCAATGGAGAATGGTGACCACTAGAGAATGGTGACCCAATGGAGAATGGTGACCCACTGAAGAATGGTGACCCACTGGAGAATGGTGACCCAATGGAGAATGGTGACCCACTGAAGAATGGTGACCCAATTAAGAATGGTGACCCACTATAGAATGGTGACCCAATGGAGAATGGTGACCCAATGGAAAATGGTGACGCAATGGAGAATGGTGACGCAATGGAGAAAGGTGACCCAATGGAGAATGGTGACCCAATGGAAAATGGTGACCCACTGGAGAATGGTGACCCACTGGAGAATGGTGACCCAATGAAGAATGGTGACCCAATTAAGAATGGTGACCCAATGGAGAATGGTGACCGACTGTAGAAAGGTGACCCACTGTAGAATGGTGACACAATGAAGAATGGTGACCCACTAGAGAATGGTGACCCAATAAAGAATGGTGACCCACTAGAGAATGGTGACCCACTAGAGAAAGGTGACCCACTGGAGAATGGTGACCCACTGGAGAATGGTGACCCACTGGAGAAAGGTGACCCACTGGAGAATGGTGACCCACTGGAGAATGGTGACCCAATTAAGAATGGTGACCCACTAGAGAATGGTGACCCACTGTAGAGAATGGTGACCCTCTGGAGAATGGTGACCCAATGGAAAATTGTGACGCAATGGAGAATGGTGAACCACGGGGGAATGGTGACCCAATGGAGAATGGTGACCCAATGGAGAATGGTGACCCAATGGAGAGTGGGGACCCAATGGAGAATGGTGACCTACTGTAGAATGGTGACCTACCAGAGAACGGTGATATACCAGAGAATAGCGACCCACCAGAATTGTGACCCACCTTTATGTGTCGCTGTATATAGATTTCCCTGCTCTGATTATAAATAACCCTTAGTGTCAAAAGTCACAACATCTGGTCATTTCTTACGTGGTTTTAAAGTCTTAACAGGTAATTTCTCACGTGGTTTAAAAGTCACAACAGGTCATTTCTTACAAGGTTTAATAGTCACAACAGGTTATTTCTTACGTGGTTTTAAAGTCACAACAACAGGCCATTTCTCACTTGGTTTAGTTTAACATAAAAAAAAATCCCGCAAAAAGTGCAGCCCAATAAACGGGCGGTTAGCTCCAGGTGTTGTGACGTCACAAGGCCGTGCATGTAAGCCGGCCTAGCCAGTGAAAGCTACACAATGGACCCTTAAGACGCTGTAAATTGGATGGGCGACACTTTCAAAGGAAACCAAAATTGTTGGCCCGCTCCACCTCAAAGGTGGTAGAGTTACAAGAAAATCTACATCTTGTTGTGCTTTAGCTGCGGCTTTAGGAAGCTTTAGCATTATTCAACTTTCTCATGGCGTCCTGGCTATAAATAGCCTTACGCGAGGTGTTCAATTTTTTTTGTTTACTAAGTTTTTTTTTCTTCTTTGCTATTAGATATTTAAATATTTAGACACAGATAATGCAAGAGATAACCCAGATGGCATTTAATAAATATGTCGTATGACACAGATAACATGTCTGATATGTCATGAGACAAAAAACACCTAAGTAAATTTCCCAACTCTCGCCAAGTACCCATTTCGGCTGAGTGAGCTTCAGACTCGAGTCAACACCATTGACCACATCACAGCTACCACTCACACACAAACGTCCAAACTTACAAAAACACACACACAATGTCTATCAAATTCAAAGTGTGTATTTTTTAAAGTACAAAAATGTAAAAGAAATATGGCAAAAATTATTTTAAAAACGGACATATTATAAACTTTATAAAAAAAAAAACAAGCAGTGTTTATATGTACAGATCAGCGACACAGACACGGTATATTGCACGGTACAAGACACACGAGGGCTGTCTACGTGTGTCCATGTTTGGTCAACATTCGGGATAAAGCCAATGAGCAGTGAGCTAATACAAGAGGCGTCTCGTCGCTATCCTCGGGGTCCGAGTTCGAATCACACTCGTACACACATTTTGTTAATAAAAAAGTTTGAATCAAAGTTTAAGTAAATAAAAATATCACTCAAAAAGTGAAAGGTATCATTATTCCAGACAGGTCCTCTCAGTGTAGAGCCGTGAACCACAGAACTTGTATCCACTTACACAGCAACACACTAGCACAGCTACATTATGTACACATGTCAGCAACACACCCGCTACATTATGTACACAATTCATATACACAATGACACTCAACCGAAATAAAGCTAAAAATAGGATTAAAATGGCACTTTGGTAGGAAGAACAGTTTGAGCAGTTGAAAAAAAAAATTCACTCCAGATAAAACTCAAAGTCTTGCTGCTGTGACGTCACAGACTGGCACGCGCGCAGGTCGGTCTCCGAGTGAGCACTAGTGGGGCTGGAACAGCTCTCCTCCCCGCCTGAGCTGGTCACACTCGCGGGACGTAGGGAGGACATGTCCGAGCTGACGTCATCGTCCATGACCAGAGGGATGACCTCCAGCCCCAGCATGTCCCTCAATGACGCGATGTAGTTCAAGGCCAGCTTCAGGATGGTGAACTTGGTCACCTTGTTTTTACTGTCGTGCTCGACGTGGGGCAGGGAACTCTTGAGGTTGTCGAAAGCGTCGTTAATCTCCTTCATCCGGTCTCTCTCCCGGGCGTTGGCCGTCCGCCGCCTGTACTTGCTCAAGGGGGGCGGCTTGATCTTTCCCTTGGGCAGGCGTGGCTCCTCCTGGCGCCGCTCCGTCTCCACACGTTTGACCAGCGAGCTGAGCCGCAGGTTGTAGTTCTCCGTGTTGCGTGTCGCCCGTGACGACCGCCGGAGGGTTCTAGTTTCTTCTGGCACTGCTTGACCTTCAGACTGGACCGGTAAACTGCCAAGGTCAGTCTTGTTGTCTGCTGCTTGTGTGGCGCCGATTTCCCCAGACTCGAACCCGCTGTCGTCGTGAGGTAGATCTAACGTGCTGCTGTCGTTGGTCGTGGGTTTGTCTGCTGCCTTGGTTGTCTTAGCTTTTTTCTGTCTGGGTTTCACCTCAGTACTCGCGTCCTTCCGGCGAGATTTGGAAGGCTTTGAGTAGCCTTTGCTCTTCCGCTTTCGCTTCTGTTTTTTTCCTGTTGCTGTTTTTAATTTAAAATGTGCGACGGAATCGCTGGAGTTGGTGCTAGATGGGGACACTAGAGGCTGTGCTGGTGTCTGCTGCAGAAAGTTGGAGAAGTCAGGTTGGTGAATGCTGCCAAGATATAAGCTGTCTTCTGATTGGATGAAATGTGACACGTGAGGTAGATGAGACCTACTGTCTCCTAGAAAATCTGACGTCACAGAGTTCGGCTCGCTGATGAATGCATTACTTAAAGCCATGTTCGAATGTCGGGGTACCCTGTCATACAGGTTAAAGGTCAAAGGTTGGCACGAAGGGTTAACGACCGCATTCCTGTGGAAGCTTGCAGTAACCAGAGATAATCCGCCTGTAATTGGCGCATGCGCTAATTGAGCGACCTCGACATTCTCAGGAGCGTCCAGCAGGGACGGACTTCCCGTCTCCATGACACGTGACAGGTCCTCGTGCTCGTACGTGCAGGGGTGGAAGTTGTCGGGGGAGTCGAGGGCGTCTGGGGCGTCAAAGGCGCTGAGCACGGAGGGCAGGTCAGTGAAACACGTGACGTCATTGATGTAACCCTGCTCAGCGAGGACCTTGGCGAACTCATCAAGGCTACACTCGCCCTCCATCTTGGTTCTGTGGCTTAGCATCAGCGCTGTAGCGGAAACACAAAAGCACAATTCAAATAATGGCAGTATAAAACTAATGTTGCAGATTTACAACAAACCAATAAAATATCACTGAAAATAAGAAAGGCTCATGGCGGGACGTAGTATCACGGTAACATTGCTTGTAGTATGTGCTATTGTGCCGAATGTAGTGTAGGTATCTTAGTTTAAAACTTGCAGTTATTTTAATACAACTTTAAAAGGGGCATCACCCGCTTCTATAAAACTTTAGGGTGATCTTCAAGTGGGTTCAGGTTTAGACATTTTGTTACACGACTTTAAAGTAAAACCTACATTCCGGTTAAATGTAGTGCAGCTTATGGTACGGAGTGGTTGGGTAGTAGAGCACACGACTAATATCCCGTGTTCAAGTCCGTAGCATGTAATCTTGTTTTGACTCAAGTTAGGGAAAGTAAAGACGGTTTGTCAGTGTGCTGACCTTTCAGTTGCCGAGGTCACAGACACAGGTGAACTCTACTTCATCTGCCCAATGGACAGCCCGGTTTGAAGGTAAATTTTACTTTGTTTACCATACACGTTATCAGTTAAAACCTACAAATCTACGACCAAGTGGACAATCTACGACCAACTAGACAATCTACGACCAACTGGACAATCTACGACCAACTGAACCATCTACAACTGGACAATCTACGACCAACGACAAACTACAACTGGACAATCTACAACTGGACAATCTACGACCAAATGGACAATCTACAACTGGACAATCTACAACTGGACAATCTACAACTGGACAATCTACGACCAACTGGACAATCTAAGACTGGACAATCTACGACCAAATAGACAATCTACGACTGGACAATCTACAACTGGACAATCTACGACCAACTGGACAATCTACGACCAATTGGACAATCTACAACTGGACAATCTACAACTGGACAATCTACGACCAACTAGACAATCTACGACTAACTGGAAAATCTACGACCAACTAGACAATCTACAACTGGACAATCTACGACCAACTAGACAATCTACGACCAACTAGACAATCTACGACCAACTGGACAATCTACAACTGGACAATCTACGACCAAATGGACAATCTACAACTGGACAATCTACAACTGGACAATCTACAACTGGACAATCTACGACCAAATGGACAATCTACAACTGGACAATCTACAACTGGACAATCTACGACCAACTGGACAATCTACGACCAATTGGACAATCTACAACTGGACAATCTACAACTGGACAATCTACGACCAACTAGACAATCTACGACTGAACATCTACAACTAGACAATCTACGACTGGACATCTACAACTGGACAATCTACGACCAACTAGACAATCTACGACTAACTGGAAAATCTACGACCAACTAGACAATCTACAACTGGACAATCTACGACCAACTAGACAATCTACGACCAACTAGACAATCTACGACCAACTGGACAATCTACAACTGGACAATCTACGACCAAATGGACAATCTACAACTGGACAATCTACAACTGGACAATCTACAACTGGACAATCTACGACCAAATGGACAATCTACAACTGGACAATCTACAACTGGACAATCTACGACCAACTGGACAATCTACGACCAACTGGACAATCTACGACCAACTAGACAATCTACGACCAACTGGACACTATACGACCAACTGGACAATCTACGACTGGACAATCTACAACTTATCAATCTACGACCAACTGAACAAACTACGACCAATTGGACAATCTACAACTGGACAATCTACGACCAACTGGACAATCTACAACTGGACAATCTACGACCAAATGGACAATCTACAACTGGACAATCTACAACTGGACAATCTCCAACTCGATAATCTACGACCAAATTGACAATCTACGACCAACTGGACAATCTACGACCAACTGGACAAACTACAACTGGACAATCTACGACCAACTGGACAATCTACGACCAAATGGACAATCTACGACCAATTGGGCAATCTTCAACTGGACAATCTACGACCAACTGGACAATCTACGACCAACTGGACAATCTACAATTGGACAATCTACGACCAACTAGACAATCTACGACTGGACATCTACAACTAGACAATCTACGACCAACTGGACAATCTACGATAAAATGGACAATCTACGGCCAACTAAACAATCTACGACCAACTGGACAATCTACGACTGGACATCTACAACTAGATAATCTACGACCAAATGGACAATCTACAACTGGACAATCTACGACCAACTGGACAATCTACGACCAATTGGATAATCTACAACTGGACAATCTACAACTGGACAATCTACGACCAAATGGACAATCTACAACTGGACAATCTACGACCAAATGGACAATCTACAACTGGACAATCTACAACTCGATAATCTACGACCAAATGGACAATCTACGACCAACTAGAGAATCTACGACCAACTAGACAATCTACGACCAATTGGACAATCTTCAACTGGACAATCTACGACCAACTGGACAATCTACGACCAACTGGACAATCTACAACTGGACAAACTACAACTGGACAATCTACAACTGGACAATCTACAACTGGACAATATACGACCAAATGGACAATCTACGACCAACTGGACAATCTACGACCAACTGGACAATATACGACCAAATGGACAATCTACGATCAACTAGACAATCTACGACCAACTGAACAATCTACGACCAACTGGACTATCTACGACCAACTGGACAATCTACAACTGGACAATCTACGACCAGTGTTGATGTCATGTATCTGTAGTACCCTTTTCGCTTCATATTCCAATAATTGAAACTGCTAGATTTGATTTTTGTTTTCAAAATGGTGGTGTAAAAGTAATTAGCAGAATATTTCTGTGTCTAGGTTTAATTAACACATATCTTAATTCACTGTACGAAATACAATCGTCATGCACACCATCCAATCATAGACACGTGAACATCAACATCCATCTACACAACAATCTCACATCTTTGCACATCATAGTAACACATCACAATATCACTATATAACTCACCGACATCCCTACACCATGAATCCGATAAACTCATTACATATCCACCATTTATGGGAAAAAGGTCAGTATACGTTATCGTCTTTACACAGCTTATTATAATCGAGCCTTTACACAGTCCGTAGGTCCTGCTAATGACCTCACACAATCCGTAGGTCCTGCTAATGAGCTAGACGTCATAAATTCCTAGCGAACTTGAAGACACACCTGACCTTTCGTCTTCAGCTTTTTCTCTCCGGGCCTTGAGAGGGTAGGCAACGTCTTGTCTTATAAAGCCAGTCTTGTCTTATATATGCGTCCTGTCTTATATAGGCGTCCTGTCTCATATGGGCACCGTCGTGTCTTGTACAGCAGTTTGTGTCTAACGCCGCACGAGCGGGTCGCAGCCAATGATTTCTGTCATCTCTCACCTGTCGTAACGACACGCCCACTTTAAGCAAGGTACCTGACGCAGGCCTAGCGGTGTAGCAGGGGTGATCCTGTAGCAGGGGTGATCCTGTAGCAGGGGTGTAGCAGGGGTGATCCTGTGTCTCACCAACTACAGCGCATCACCCCTCATACAAGACAACAGTGTTAGCAGCCAGGGTTCGTCTACGCAACATGTTGAACACAAGCACCATACAGATTCACCATCAGCACATATAGACACATGCACCATAAAAACATTTACACCCTTAGCACATTTAGACACATGCACCCTTAGCACATTTAGACACATGCACCATTAGCACATTTAGACACATGCACCATTAGCACAGATGGACACATGCACCATTAGCACATTTAGACACATGCACCCTTAGCACATTTAGACACATGCACCATTAGCACATTTAGACACATGCACCCTTAGCACAGATGGACACATGCACCATTAGCACATTTAGACACATGCAACATTAGCACATTTAGACACATGCACCCTTAGCACATTTAGACACATGCACCATTAGCACATTTAGACACATGCACCCTTAGCACAGATGGACACATGCAACATTAGCACCTACGGACACATGCACCATTAGCACCTACGGACACATGCACCATTAGCACATTTAGACATATGCACCATTAGCACCTACGGACACATGCACCATTAGCACATTTTGACACATGCACCATTAGCACATTTTGACACATGCACCATTAGCACATTTTGACACATGCACATTAGCACAAACGGACACATGCACCATTAGCACATTTTGACACATGCACATTAGCACAAACGGACACATGCACCATTAGCACATTTAGACACATGCACCATTAGCACATTTAGACGCATGCACCATTAGCACATTTAGACACATGCACCATTAGCACGAATGGACACATGCACAGTTTAGTACTAATGATAAACGCATACTGAATTTCATCAAGCCACGACACTATAACCCAACCCAACCACAACCCAACCACATCACACCACTTGAACCCCATGTATAGCTTGAAGTCTATCCCAACAAACTACATCCCACCCCAAAAACCCTATCCCAACACAATTCATCCCACCACTAAAACCCTATCCCAAAAAAACACCACAGAACTCTCCGATACTGCAGGACCCCTCAAATTTTAGTGGGAGGGGCCATTTTGACATTTTGGGCGTGGCCTATGAATGTACACTATTTACAATTAGCGTACACCACTTGTGTACAGCATCAACACATCCACCTGATTGCAACAACCAGCGGGACAATAAATCTTGCTTGTCCACCCACCCTGGCCAGTCTGGACAACACGCAATAAAAATCTGGCACACTTAAAGTCACCATTACCCCCCCCCCCCCCCCCCCCCCCCGGCTTTTAATATCCCCTCCCCCCTGTAACCACAGAATGGCGTAGCGGAATTTGTGACCAAACTGCGCCATTTCATTCATAAAATTTCGAGCATGGCCTCCTTCTCGATCTAGGTCAGTGTGACAATAGGTGGAGTGGCGAGGGCTTGTAAGTTGGGCCAAATATCTGTGTTAGTTGTGACGATGTTCGGGTGTAATGGTGGACAGTTCGGTCTACCTACGAAAAATTTTTGCCATCTTTAAGTCAAAGACTAGAAATATTGACTTTATACGACCATTTAGGAATGACTTACTACAACAACCTATTGATATCGTTTTATATCATATGTAAAACCTAAGATTACTAAACCAAGTACACATTCCTAAACGTATAGTTACCTATGCTGCTACTGTTACTTTGTCTTACGACATAATGGTCGGCCACAAAACAATCCCAATTGTTGGGCATCGACAAATGGGCTCTTAAATAAAGTCCACAAATAACAGACAATATGGCTCCCGAAAAGTAGCCTAATTAATGATATGTCTCCAGACAAAATGGCCCGTGGAAAAAAGGGTCCACGACAATAGTACTCTAACAAAAACGCGTAGACCAGAAAGAGAATTTGCAAGGATTGTGGCGGAACAACAACTTTCTCAACAGCTGCATGCTGATGTTATCTGGGAGTTTAATGTGCCGTTTGAGCTTAGGTTTATGTTGAGCTTAATGTGCCGTGTGAGTTTAAAGTTCTGGGGGATCTTAATGTGTATTTCGACCTTAAGATTCTGTGGGAGCTTATGTTATGTGAAAGCTTAATACCTGTAGTAGGGCCACAAACCTACTGCACTTAATGTAAAGTTATAGGACGGCCACAAACCTACTGCACTTAACAATGTAAAGTTATAGGACGGCCACAAACCTACTGCACTTAACAATGTAAAGTTATAGGACGGCCACAAACGTACTGCACTTAATGTAAAGTTATAGGACGGCCACAAACCTACTGCACTTAATGTAAAGTTATAGGACGGCCACAAACCTACTGCACTTAATGTAAAGTTATAGGACGGCCACAAACCTACTGCACTTAATGTAAAGTTATAGGACGGCCACAAACCTACTGCACTTAATGTAAAGTTATAGGACGGCCACAAACCTACTGCACTTAATGTAAAGTTATAGGACGGCCACAAACCTACTGCACTTAATGTAAAGTTATAGGACGGCCACAAACCTACTGCACTTAAAAATGTAAAGTTATAGGGCGGCCACAAACCTACTGCACTTAATGTAAAGTTATAGGACGGCCACAAACCTACTGCACTTAATGTAAAGTTATAGGACGGCCACAAACCTACTGCACTTAATGTAAAGTTATAGGACGGCCACAAACCTACTGCGCTTAATGTAAAGTTATAGGACGGCCACAAACCTACTGCACTTTTTGTAAAGTTATAGGACGGCCACAAACCTACTGCACTTAACAATGTAAAGTTATAGGACGGCCACAAACCTACTGCACTTAATGTAAAGTTATAGGACGGCCACAAACCTACTGCACTTAATGTAAAGTTATAGGACGGCCACAAACCTACTGCACTTAACAATGTAAAGTTATAGGACGGTCACAAACCTACTGCACTTAATGTAAAATTATAGGACGGTCACAAACCTACTGCACTTAATGTAAAGTTATAGGACGGTCACAAACCTACTGCACTTAACACAGTAAAGTTATAGGACGGCCACAAAACTACTGCACTTAATGTAAAGTTATAGGACGGTCACAAACCTACTGCACTTAATGTAAAGTTATAGGACGGCCACAAACCTACTGCACTTAATGTAAAGTTATAGGACGGCCACAAACCTACTGCACTTAATGTAAAGTTATAGGACGGCCACAAACCTACTGCACTTAACAATGTAAAGTTATAGGGCGGCCACAAACCTACTGCACTTAATGTAAAGTTATAGGACGGCCACAAACCTACTGCACTTAATGTAAAGTTATAGGACGGCCACAAACCTACTGCACTTAATGTAAAGTTATAGGACGGCCACAAACCTACTGCGCTTAATGTAAAGTTATAGGACGGCCACAAACCTACTGCACTTTTTGTAAAGTTATAGGACGGCCACAAACCTACTGCACTTAACAATGTAAAGTTATAGGACGGCCACAAACCTACTGCACTTAATGTAAAGTTATAGGACGGCCACAAACCTACTGCACTTAATGTAAAGTTATAGGACGGCCACAAACCTACTGCACTTAACAATGTAAAGTTATAGGACGGTCACAAACCTACTGCACTTAATGTAAAGTTATAGGACGGTCACAAACCTACTGCACTTAATGTAAAGTTATAGGACGGTCACAAACCTACTGCACTTAACACAGTAAAGTTATAGGACGGCCACAAAACTACTGCACTTAATGTAAAGTTATAGGACGGTCACAAACCTACTGCACTTAATGTAAAGTTATAGGACGGCCACAAACCTACTGCACTTAATGTAAAGTTATAGGACGGCCACAAACCTACTGCACTTAACAATGTAAAGTTATAGGACGGTCACAAACCTACTGCACTTAATGTAAAGTTATAGGGCGGCCACAAACCTACTGCACTTAATGTAAAGTTATAGGACGGCCACAAAACTACTGCACTTAACAATGTAAAGTTATACTATACTTAGCTGTGTCAAGATCGTGCTTGTATCATATTACTGGAAAATGTTGGGTGGTTGCTTATAATTTCGTTATATTAGGTTCTTGTATAGTGTGGTGGTAATGTTATAGGCCTATATCATTGGTTTGTATTCTTTATTCTTATTTTTGCTACAATTTATTTTAAATAGGCTAAAACGATTGTCCTGGAAAGTTCTTTTTTTTTTTACTAAAGGCCTCATTATAACTTTCTCGTATACGAAGTATTGAGGAAGTATTGTTATCGTGCAAAAAAATAATAATCGAGATTATCACAGATCTCGACGTTTTACACCTCACTGATTTAGAAAAACATAGTTTTGCAATTTTGTCTGTATGTCTGTGTGTGTGTGTGTGTGTGTGTGTGTGTGTGTGTGTGTCTGTGTGTGTGTCTGTGAACACGATAACTTGAGTACCGTTACAGCTAGGTTAATGAAATTTCATATCAGTATTATATCCAATTAGTAGTTCTATATCAAATTTGCAGCAATTTCCGATAACCGGAAGTGGAACTTTTAGTTTTAGTTTACATTTAGTTTTTAAAAGCTTATAATTTGAGTACTGTAACAGATAGATAAAAGAAATTTCACATGTAAGTAAAAGTTTTAATTCTCCGCCTTCTAGCAAATTTTGAGTAATTTCCGTTGGCCGGAAGTAGTAATTTCACTATTTCCGTTTTCTCAAAAAACGCATATGAATTTATAAAGTACTATTAATATTCCGCACTATTATATACATACTGTTTGCCATTCAATAGGTGCGCAATTCTTTTTACTACGAGATTCTATCTAATACTACTAAAACTCAAGTTTGTTTACATGTTTG